TTGGTTAATAAGATATAGAATTTCGTTAATGACGTTCTCCGTCACGTAGTCAAGTATATCGAATTGAGTTCCCGGTGTCAGTATCGCGTGACATAATGGTCTACATAAGAAAACATATGAGCTCAGGACCTCCCTATTGCTGACAAACGTTTCTTCGTCCGCAAGAAAGTTTTAACCCTTGAGCAAAGCCGAGCCGGCGAGAGGTCTGGGAGGGTATGGCACTAATAGTGCCAGTCTCCTACGCTGAGTTGTTGTTTGGTCTTGTCACATAAAACAGTTCAAAATATCTATACTCACGGCTCGTTGTAGACTCCTTTGTGGTATAGCTGGAATGATTGGTGGCTAGCATCTATGGCTACAGAGATTGGGCCGACTGTTGCAACAGCGGATTGAAGAGCAGCTTCGCTTCCTCGCTGGATATCCATGTAACCTAACAGGAGCACCAACATAGACGTATTATTTGAACCAAAAATTACGTAAGTGAATGAATAAATGATAAGTAAATAAATAAAACGACTTTTGAAGAACCAAAAATAATAAGGAAAAGATCTGTGCTCTTTATCTTGTCCCGTGCAACATCGATGGCAAACATCGTCGCACTCTCGTTAAATCGTCTGTTCGATAATCATCGGAAACTACCGATGATGATTCGTTGACTTTCCCTTACCAGTATCAGTAGCACCGACGTCAGCTGCTCGGAACTTGCAGCGTTCATCGCGGGCTTTGTAAGGATAGCTTGCTTCGGTATCGATACCACCATTAGCTTTGATATACCTGAAAATGATAGCGTAAGAACTTTTGAATAAAAAGATAACTCATAAATGGCTAGAAATGCTATATTTTCAGCTTTTTCACGCAAATCCAAGATTGGAAAACAAGAAACGAGTTGAGAAAATATTTTTTGCGATTTTCTAATAAATTCAGTGATGTACTCTTAGGCCACGATTCAGCTGATGACAACACGTCCTAAACCGTTAGCTCCCAGAAAGGATTAACATGTAAATTGTTGGCACCGCAATCTCAATACATAACTCTGCAAACTGAAAATTAAGATGGACAAGTCTATCAGCTGGAAGTTGTTAACTTAATATAGCATCAGATTCTCTTCAGTAACTTTAAGAGGAAATCTGCATCAGCTAACGGTGTAGAAAAATATCAGAAAGGCGAGAAATATTTAGTTTATCGCCGCTTACTGGAAGGCGTAGTCCATGAGTCCTCCCTCGCAACCGTGATTTCCAAATTTAGTCGAGCAGTCGACCAGATTCTGTTCGCTAAGTGAGACGAGGTTTCCTGTTTTCTTGAAGTGTTGTCCCTCCAGTGATCCTGTTGTACTGAACGCCCAGCAAGAACCACATTGACCTGAAACAGAAAAAAAGATAAGCAGACATCACCAATACGTTCTTAGCGAAAATATCTTTAAAGATCAACAATTTCACGAATGTCGCAGGTGGTAAATATTTTCTACTAGATGCATAAATGTTCACGCCAAGTTATAAAGTTTTACAAAGGGCTGAAACTTTGGTTAGTGATGATGAAAATTCTTAGTTGAAGGAATATTTGCCAAAAGCTATGCCAAATACCGATATTTCTTTGTAAAATATTGACAAGTTTAGAGTTTCCCATTTTCAACGAATCAGAAAAGTGTGACATTTAATCGAGTAAGTCCATCGAGCGAATGAAGCTAGATAGTATAGAAAGGGATATTACGAGGGCTTTCACAGATCGGTGAGTGGACATGAGATACGAATCGTTGCAAGACATTTAATCATGAAATTCAGAGGAGCAAAATTGGAAAAAAACCACACGATCAAACTTACCTTGATTCTTTACCGGAGTTACGTATCCCTTAGTTCTCCAGTCCACTGACGAGGGGAGGCTCACTCCACTGGGAGGGAGGTAGGCCGATCCATGACGTTCAGTTTCATTGGAGTAGTGGGAACGAAGTCCCAGGTAATAAAATCGGAATTCATCAACTGTCAGATCACCGAACTGGTTCATAGCCAGGGTGTAAGAGTGTCCCTCGGAGTTGTGTTGTTGAACTTTCTAAAAAACAAAACAGATAAAAATCATTTAGGAGAGAAATGAAAGCAACTAGACTATAGTCAGTAAAGGTTAGGCGGTTATAGTGATTACATGGCAAACCTTCGTCGTAGGAATTTTTATTTATTACGTTATTTCTTAAATTAACTAGGTTCCAATTCATCTGTTTCCACTATGGTGGGAAAAAAAGGGAAAGATTCTAGGTTTCGAACAGACCTTGAGTAATTTAACCAATTCTTTTTTTTTTTCCTTCTGTCGTTTGCAATCTTTGTTCAATGTCTCTATCATCCGTGCTCTTACTCGATTACAAAATTTTAGTTTTTTTCTACTAAATTTGTAATTAGAGATGTCACGCGACGCGACTCTACACATGCAAACAATGGCCAGGAGAGGAACTCGTAGATATTGCGTTTCAGAAATTTGCTGAGCGTTTTCAGAACGAAAAATTGAAAAATCACTCAAACACAGGTGCTGGACAAGGGAATGTAATTTTGCGCAATCAAAAGTATCGAACCTTTCTGGGGGGTATTAACACTGCGGTCACTTGACATTAGATTCAAGTCAAGGTCAGACTTTTCCTTATCGAAACTAATTGGGAGAAACCCTACTGTACGATGCGCCAGAATATTTGGAAAAAAAAATTATTGCTCTTTAACCTGAAACAGATTCATGGGAAGATCAATGAAGTTGACTTTAACCAAGCAGTTGACTATAAGCCTGTAAAGAGATTACGAGTTTATCAAATAAAACGTATCAGATGGGTTTTAAATAACGAAATTCTCAAATTATTGACTTCACAAATTTAGAAGAACGATAAAATGCCTTTCATTACAGCCTGCTGCGGAGCCATCGACACAAAATCTGCAAATACCGAATTATACTTTATTGTACTACCTTGCAACCGAACAACTTTGTGTCAAGCGTCACAACTGTCAGATTTTGCACTTTGCAGGCGTTGATCCTGATGAATGCCAATCAAGTAAATTAACACTTCTCACGCTAAAGGCTGCCAAAATAATCGATTCAGCGCGGCAATTGGGCTGTCAAGATAGAGAATGACGCAGACTACAACGACCACGATAGACGAAAAAAGAAAAGAAGATATAAGCAATAATGTGACAAGACAACATTTTATCTCAAGAATGTAACGTCACAACTACACATATGCTTTCCCGCGAGCGGAACCCAAAGAAAGGTGTTCGTGATCGACAGTTTGCGGGTATATATTATTCTGGAGTTTTCAAGCGCGTTCGCAATTACCATATTTACTGATTTGGCGGAGCATTGTTGGACGGGGACAGACTTTGTCGAGAATGGACCTTGCAATTTTTGTCACTAGCTAGTGCGTAGGGTACCTTAATTTGATTAAAAATTGACGTTTGGTAACACCGGAAACAGCTGCTGCAATGGAAAAAAGAGGTTTCTTCAAGAAAGCGTGCTTATAAACTAAAGGTCACAGGGAGGGATTAAAAAATTCACGTATTTTGTCGAGATAAGTAATTTTCTGTCAAAATAAAATATAATTTGAGCACAAATGTCTTCTGGCGGAATAAGAGCTTTTCTGCTTTATTTACAGCATGACGTTTGAGCTTTCGGTGCCAGGTACAGGAAAGGCTACCGAACGGCATTCCAGTTGGGAAGAAACAAAATCATCACGCAGATAATTACAGGATTTAATAAGCATGCCCAATAGTCGGGCTTAATACAGAGAACATGCGTGAACAGATGAATCATGCCATAATTACAACAGACTCATTCGCACGAATAGGCCGGTTCATCGCAGACAAAATTATGTAACGAAATCCCGGTATAATCGGACACAAAATGAATTGGCAGGATCGATAATTCCGAGAATTCAAAACCTCAAAACTTATACCGATATTAAAAACCACGACTGCAAATTTTGTTCTGGGATATACGCAGCTGTTTGAATTTTGCTTGGGTCTGCCAATGGTCTTCGCGCCAATTTACTAGGGGACGAAGAAATACCCCGAAATCAGAATAAACCAAGGATTCCCGCATACGGTTCACATGACCACAAACGAGACAAAATCGTGGGGAATTGTATACGCCGACGTCAAAGCATTAAACAACTCTTGTAGAACAGTTTGGACGATTTGAATTGCCTATTCTCATGCGCATATAATATTTCATGCGTGAATTACATACCCTCAAGTTGTCTCTCCAGATAGCATAGCGAGCTTGTTCTTCAGTATCTGTAAGGTAACTCTTGTCGTGAAAGCTTTTCCATGCTTGCCACTGCTCTTCATACTCTCGAAACTTCAGCACAGCGCTGTTTGCCACGGACAGGCACAACACAAAAGCAAGAACAGCCTTCATCATCAGTACTGGAGTATGGCTACGCTACAACAACGATAGGCTACAACTGAAGAATGCCAGCAATTTATAAACAGAAGTCACAAGACCTCCTCGAGATAATAGGATTAATTTACGCAGTCACGAGATCACCGTCTTCCGGTGATTCAGCGCGAATTAATCTCAGCGGGGGTAGGGGGGTAGGGATGGGTTTTGTCTTACTTCATCAACTCCAATGTACTTTAGTTGAGGAAAATTCATTTTCAGAAAGTACGAACGAGGGACCGAATCTAAGAAGGGAGCAAATGGCTTGAAAATTCTGTTCTGTTTACTGTTTTATCATATTTACTCAGATCATGTTTTGGCTTTTCAAGCTGAATCATCATTTGTCACCAAACCGGCACAAAAACATGGACACGAAGAGGCCAATAATAAACTTGACCCAAAATGTACATAAATACATTGTACATAATCGCTCTTGTACAGACGTACGACCCTATTTATGGTTTTGAGGAGGGACTACAGATAGTCAGAAATGTCAGTCAAAACTGATTGATAGTATGAGCAAAAAGTCAAAATTATAACAGACTTGGAGAGTTTAGGACAGTTCTAAGAATAGACCCTTTCAAGGTTAACGCCGCCATTTTGCCGGGGGTGCAAAACTGCTGGGGTGAACGCAAAATGTACAGTGAATGTATGGGAAAAGTTAAGAAAATGATGCTCGATAATTTGAGGAAGGTTGACATCGTGCAATTTCTATGAATTACAAACTAAAGATACCAGACCTACCAGTTTACCGATCAAATTTGAGAAATTAAGTTTCGCGAAAAATGCCGCAAATTAATTTGATTTTCTATATATTTGTCTCTAAAACCAAGCCGCCGTTTGCGGGAAAATTTAAACGTATTTGTATGAAAAACTAAAAATAAGATTTCTCACTTCTCAGCGAGCCTGAACCCTTCACATTTAATCGGCAACATCTTTTGCTAGGTATCTTTACTTCGTAATTCATAGAAATTGCAGAATGTCAACCTTCCTCAAATTATCCCACATCAATCTCCCGACTTTTTCCATACATTCACTGTACATTTTGCGCTCGCCCCAGCAGTTTTGCACCCCCAGCAAAATGGCGGGGCGTTAACCTTCAAAGGGTCTATTCTCTCCCCGACACAAATGCGGTGCTGTCATGAGACGAGAGGTAGAGAACGTTGGGTACTGTGTAAGCATTGAAAAGCAAATCGATTTTTTTAAACTAAGCAACTCTTTTGAAAGTTTGAATAATTGAGATAGAATTCAATAGATTTTGAGTATATGAAAATCATATATGTGTACTGCGGTTTCAAGGATCGCTTTCATACATGTAGGTACTTCGTGAAATCCTTCATACATGTATCAATACAGAAGAACATATGGGAATACATGGTCATTTGCATTCATTAACATACATTAAGGATTACACCAAGTACTTACCTTCATACATCTCACGAAACCGCAGTACACATGTATGATTTTCATCGATTCAAAATTCATTGATTTATAGCACTTCGACGCGTTTAATGGGAACCAACATGATGACCAGCTCTCAGTTGGCTTGTTAGCTTAGTTGGTATGGTAGAGCACTCCACCCGGGTACCGGTATCGTAGAAGTCAGGGGTTCGTATCCCGTACGGGCCTGAATTTTTTTCAGGCCTTATTTCCGATAATTTAGATAGGTTAAGAACCAACATGAGCTGCAGAAACTTGCTTGCCTGCTTGTCATCAGGCAACGATGTCAGCATCTGATAATCCCTCAAACCCCCCCCCCCATCTCTCTCTCTCTCCCTCGCTCATAAAAATTTCTCATGTAGCGCTTGGTTCCAGGCTCTCCCAACAAACTAAAACGGCGTGAAAGTTGACAGAAATGGGCTCAGATTATTCAAATGGATAAGAATTTACAAATCTTCAAGCATCCGGGCTTCCCCAACTAACCGTATGAAAGTCGACAAAATTAGTCCAGATTATCCAAATCGAACAAGACTTTACAAATCTACAACCATCCTTGAATATAAAATCCCGTTGATTTCAATAAAGAAATGATTTATTTGTCTTTCCCTTTATCATATGATCAACCCCGAATTTTTTGGGTTTCATTAAAAGTCGGTTACCGGCCATCTACCTCCGCCTGTTATGGTAGGTACTTGGTGCAATCCTTCATATATGCATCAATACAGAAGAACAGATAAGAATACATGGTCATTTGCGTTAATTAACATACATTAAGGATTACACCAAGTACTTACCACTATTATACTCTTACCGCTGACTGTTTAGCCTGCCAACAGGCTCGCGTGTTTGGGTTCTGCCCAAACGACCCTTTTCGGGCACTGCAATTATATCACCGATATAACATCGGTAGCCGCGGCTTCTGGAAAAGTTATTGAAACCTCTGCAATTTATTTTACTGGTCAGGGAGATTTGGAGAACTGTAAGGAAGATTTGGAGAGTTAGTTTAGACGATACCAATTTAAAAAAGCAAGCGAGGAAAAAAAAAATTCAACGTCATGCAAACGATTAACATGTCATTTCGCTAAATTAAGCATGCCGTAGCAGAGATATTTTTGTAGAGTTCTCTATTTAGAAGTGGTTTCCCTGTGGTTTTTTTTAGCTATTATTATCCACCTAGAACAAGATCCACGAGCCTCGCATGAGTCACATTACGTCGCCACTTTCACTCTGACCCGTTTTGTTGTTTATTCTTATCCAGAACTCTGCTCATTCTTTTTTTCTTAGTTTTCTTCTTTTACAATGGCTCGTAAGGCCCACCATTTATGCAAGCTCTATATTACTATAAATGAAATAAATCATTGTTTCACCCGGAGGTGACTTATACACGTTAAACAAAATGATCTCCCCAGGTTAACTGCAATTAAAGCTAAAATTGCAGAAAAGAAAACCGAACAAAGTTCAGGATTCGACGGAAATCGAACTAAACTGTCAGAAACTGGAAGGGTGCCACCACCAGTTGAACCGCGAAACCGTATGTTGGGACCGAGCCAACATTATATATTTCTCGTGCAAAATTGCATTGCTCGTGAAAACGTTATATTCTTCAATACAAAGTTTATATTTCTCGTCCACAATTATATTCCTTCTACAAACTTTATATTCGTCGTAGAAACTTTATATTTGCTCCTGCAAATTTTTACATTCCTCTTCAGTGCAAACTTCTAAGCGCAGTGCTTACATTCCTTTATCACACGAACTTTACTTCGAAGGCAAATATGGCTCTCCTTCGCAGCTTCTTCACTCTCGGTCAGGTGGCTTTGTCACGATAGCCCCTTCAAGCTTTCCAATGGAGCTCGACATCGTCGAACTTAATCACAGGCACAAAGCCTCTGGCAACAGTCCACCGCAAAAGAAAGGCAAGAAATCCCTTCATTTTGGTAGGGTAGTTTTATAAATCTTCCGAAAGTGTTCTTGTTTTCAGCTGTGCCAGTGAGGTATGACTGCTGCGTGTAGGGTTAAAAATACCGCAGTCCTGCACGTGCGTTACAGATGCCGTCTTTATGCATACCATTCTAAAAGCAACACTTTTTGATGAGTGATTTTTATGTCTAAATCCGTTACTTCTACACCAAAATTAAATTACGACGTTAATGGTATATGAATTGACGAAACTACGGTCAAATCTCTTAACCTTGGGATAAAAATGGCCACCTATGCCGTGATATTCAAATTAAAAATAATTTCAAAAGTTACTGAATAACTTGACAAATTATAATTTATATCTATTTGACGTTAAGCCCTTCCAAATAGCTACTATCCCTCATTAAAAATTAAAAAATGGCCACGAAAAGTGCTTTAAATTGAGTTCCTTGTCTGTGGGTAACACCTCTGTCCACCTTTCAGGTTCTGGTTACATTTTTCTACCTGTAAATTTCAAAAAGAGGGTGTTAGTGAAAAATCTTATGACCGGCTGGTGGACGGGAGATATTCTGCGGTTTTAATTGTCTAAAACAGTGCTCTCAATAAGATTTGAACTAGGTGGCTACTTCGGTACAGCACCCACCGGAGAGCGACTTGAGTGCGACTTGAGCGTGGTAACCGCGACTTGAGCACGGTGAAAAATACCCGGCGACTCACAACAGAACGGTTGTCGGGTCTTATTGAAAGCTCTGCTAAAAATGGCTAATTACAACTGCCTTTGTGCATCGAATAGGTTTAATTGTAAAGTGAGTTGAAAATAATTTTATACCACTTCTTTTGAGGAAAAGTAATTGTGAGTGAAAACTTACGAATCGATCGATAAATTCTTCAAATTGTACTTAACCTTTTAACCCTTAAAAAGAGATTGGCACCTAAATTCTCCTTACAGTACCTGCCCTGAATCACACCATAAGGTGACAAGAATAAAGTAAATGATCACCCACTACATCAGCTCTTGATTGTTAACCAAATTCTCCTTGTCAGCACCTTAAGAAATGCATAGAGAACAGTATGGAGAATATGCATACTGATGTTTGGGTGTAAAGGGGGAAGAAAGGGAACAAACCTTTCCAAAATACCAGAAGATCATCTACTGTTTCTGCTTCCTATAACACAACGGTATAATGTTAGTTATGCCAACGGGTTAAACAGGTTTTAACAAGTCTACAGAACTTCTTTTGGGCATATTCATCAGACAGCCAATAAGCTCTAGTTTTTGCTGCTTGAGAGGAGATGAAGAGCATAACATATTCATGTTGAAGACTTTTTAAAAATAAATGAACTAGTTCTTTTTGACATGTGGATAATTTAACTCTGCTAAAGTGCCCTTAAACAGATTTTTAAAAGAAATCATTTAAACCCCCGCAAGAGTAATGTAGACATAAGCAATTTTGTGGGAGGTTCTGCGAAGGTCTGACCTCGGCAGTACTGACTGACGTTTTAACAACTAAAGCGGAAGACGTCATCAAAGTAGAGTAGTTCTTAGGGCTACCCTCACCCAGGCGATCCGAGTACATAATCAAATATTACTACTGAGCTACTGTACGACTAAGTCACAGTTTAGTTGTTAATGTGATTCGTTCAGAAAAAGGGTACGATTTTCTGGACCAATCACAGGGAGGAGTAGAGCGAACCCTAGGCAAACCCAGAGTCAATCTTCAGTTGACATTCAATAGAAAATTTCCATACCTCTGTGGATTACCTAGAGCACAAAGACTAAAAGAAACCCTAAATCTATGACACACTAACCAAAGATAAAAACATTATTTGCCCATAATTGCCACTGGTAAACTTCATATGTGATAATAAAAAAGCTTAAACATACTTTTAATACTTCAAAGCTCACGCTGCCATCCTCAAGCATTCGATAACCTTGACCATGTAAGAGAAATCCAATAACGTTACACTTGTTAGTAAAGAAATCCCTTCAGGCGGCTGGTATGTCGGCTGATGATGTGCGCGGCTGCGATAGTCCGAAAAATGAATATTTGGCTAAGAGGCAAAGCTTAGAGGGCAAGTGTGAAATTTCGAGGACAATCTCTCAGCCAAGGACATTATCAGCCGAAACACCAGCAAGCCAAAAGGGGGTTTATGTAATTTATTACATCCACTTTAAAATCACTGCTGGTCTTTGTGATCTGATAGGCTCTCGCTGGTGCCATTTATTGACGAATCGCACTATTTATTTATAGCTCTCCTAAAAATTTTCGTATCGCGCGTTGACAGAAAATTTTGTGGACGATTTTGTTCTTTCCGGAGAAAAATTTAAGATCAGCTTTCAAATGTCACTACCACTGCGTTATACAAAACGAGTTCGTTTTTCTTCCAAGTAAAGTAATAAAGATGAAAAAATGTAACTCTCGAGCTGGCTTTTCCCCGTTGCCTTTGTTCCTTTTCAACGGAAATAATCGTAGGACAATATCGCCGAAAAATGGGGGTTATTGCCTGATGACTGTTCGGTGATTTTGTGCCACGTGATGTAAAGTAGTAGCCAATAGAGTCGCGCGAAAATTAATGGGTGGTTTATAGAATTCAATAACATTATACTTGAAAACATAACCAAGTTATACTTTTCATCTCGCAGAGATTTAGAAAGCTACAATTCTTAAAGTTAAACATTTTGGTTTAAGTAATAGTTAATTAAATTATCAAGATCATTCCTACCAAAAACAGCAGGCGCTTGACGACTGCAATGTCGTGAAAAAAGTGACAGGGAATTTGCACCACAATCATGGAGAATTAGGTAATCTCCTTCTTCAACCTATGAAATAACAGCTTTGTTAACTTTATTAGTTGTCTTTAACATCAGACTGGCAGACATAAACTTACATAAAATTGAAATCACTATCGAGAAATTACTGAACTATCGTATAACAGTCTCCAATTTATTTAATCGATATTAAGTAGACATTGTCACAAATAAAAGTCAGGTTTAGGAGTAAGCATAATTCAAACAGAATCAAGAAAACCAAAAAAAAAGAAATGGAGCTTCGCCTGACCTGAAACACTTCTCAATTTTTAGGGTATGGCAGAAAACGCTTAAAAACTTAACCTTGTCACTCACCGTCGGTAGAAGCACGTCTCGCTTTACTACGTCGCCAGAAAAGCACAGTGGTCCGGCAATATTATAACGCATTCTCTGTAAACATGAAAAATGTCCATAAGAAAATTGATACAAACAAATCTATTTACTGATAGTTTTCTTTGAAGCTGCATGTAAAGAACATTTTTCTAAATATGTAACACATGCATCCTAATAAAGAGAAATTCCAAGTGCTCAGTCGACATTGGAGTAAACACCTTAGACATGGTTACCACAACCATAGGTTTTTCAAGTTCCCTGACTTTTCCCTGACAAATGTAAAATTTCCTTGACCAACTGAGTTAACAGGCTCACAAATCTCAATGTTGGCATCAAACCTTCTCTTACAGCTTTAATTTATGGTTCCTGCAAGTCACACATAAACTGATAGTTTCGTTACGTAACGCAGAAAAAAAAAACAGCTTGTTGTTCAATATTTTCCTTGTCACTGCCCATATGAAAAAATTGGTCACTGAAGAAAGGCTAAAACAAGAGTGACAGAGTGGACTGGTGCGGGGAGCTGAGATGACTGACAGTGGAGGTAAGGGGAGCTGAGATGACTGTGAGTGGAGGTGTGGGGATCTGAGATGACTGTCAGTGGAGGTGTGGATAGCTGAGATGACTGTCTGTGGAGGTGTGGATAGCTGAGATGACTGTCAATGGAGGTCTGACTCTCTTGAAAGTTTAACATGACAGCTCTAGATCCAAAAAGTTACATGACTGTTTGACTTCTGTGTGCATCTATTTGGCTACCAAAAAAGTTGTTTTTTTTTTAAGCAGTTAACTTGTAACTACATACCTCTCCTTCTTTCAATTGTCCTTCCTTGCTAAAAACTTCCACTCTTCTCTGTGAAAAACGAACACTTCAGGATCAGGCTTTGTATGCAAAGCTGCCCAAACAAAATGAAAACTGGGTATATTTGTACAATGCACTTACTTGGTATTTCTGTATGTTGGGGCAGTAACAAGTTCTCATCATCATATCCTATTAACAAAAGAGTATTTCATCAAATTACTGACAGTGTTAGGACTATAAAAATTACTTCAAACCAACAAAATGATAGATGAATATGCATTATATAGGCCACTTTATGCTTATGAAAGTAGTCTATGCATATAGCTATGCAGAACAAAATACAGATTGTATAAATTCCAAATTTGCCCTCTACACCATCCAGGGCCTGATGGTTTCTGAAATTGGTGCTTGAGACTGGAAGAACTCTCTTTCTTTCCACAACTTGTATCAATTACTTGGTAGAAACACAACTTACTGCTCCAAAATGTATGAGAGCGATTCTTAGGTCATCTGATGCCTTTTTGGTATATTCCACTCTACTAGCCAACCAGCCAGCCTAACAGAAAATCAAAAACAAAAAAAATTCTTCGAGTCATGATGAAGTAAACAAGATTATTTCAAGTTCTCGCATATTTCATGGAGAACTTGATCAAATTCAAAGATGTCCAAACTTTTCTGAAGATGTTCTGAATATTTCCACAAATGTTCTGAATATATTCCAAAAATGTTCTAAAGTGTTGACCCAATAGGTCTGCAATGCTCTCCCCTTCTCAACCAAGGTTTTAGCTCATGTATGAACAATTACATTGACTTTTCCTCTCTTGCAAGGCTGCAAGAGCTCCAAAGTTTTTTGAAAGATAAGAAGGAATAGCTGCATGGCTACCATGAGTACATAAGTATGAGATTGAAGTTCAAGGATCCACAAGCATGCCAATCATGCCCAAGACATGAGAGCTAGTTACTATTGTCAATTCATCAAACATTGAAAAGACCTCTAAATTTATTTTCAAAGTTTCTAGTTCCACTTTAAATGATGGGCAGCATCCATAACAGAAGCAAGTACATTTAAATAGACTATGAGCAGTCCCTGCTTTTCAGTGAAGCTTGTCACACAAGTTAAAAAAATCTGGGAAAAAAGAGAAGAGGTTCCTCGTAGTCTAACATTTACATCAGCTATGTTCACACGGTACCTTTGCATTAAATGCTTGGCCAAATTCTGTAATTACTTTCTTGAAAGTCCCATAGCTGGGAAAGAGTTCTGGAACTTCTTTCTAATAAAATCATTTCAGCATCAGTGAACAAATAGCACTGAAATTACCCTGGTCAAACATTTCTAAATACAACAATAAGAATGCTTCAGTTATATGAAATAGTTAGAAAGGTAGGTTATACATGGGCTTGATTACCAGCCACTGTCTGGGAACTAGAGCCTATGCTCCTCCCAGAACCCACGGGTCTCTTCCTGGGGAGGAACAAAAGAGACCGGACACGAAAGAGCGGCATAAATTGAGCCTAGGTTATACAAACAGTGCACATTTTAGGCTCACTAGCAGCCAGTGATGTTTTTTGGTTACTTTGCAGAGTTTTCACTGGTATAAGCCAGGGTGCATAAGCAGACAAGAAGAAAATTGAAAGAGAACAAAGTTCTGGGGGTATGCTTCCCCACTCTTTCACTCCTTTCCAAAACTGATTGTCTGAAACAGGCCAATTATTTCTCTGATTGCTTAATACATCACTCATCAGTTTTCATCCACTGCATTTAAAAGGGAATGTTTGACTTAATGACTTAACTATATTTTCCACAAAATATGGAAATCAATTAATTTAGTATTGACATGGGAAAATAACATTACAAAATAGAAAAAACAAAGATGTTACACCAGACTGACATACCACTGTACCCAAAAGCAGTGCACAAAAATCTAAAGCAAACTACATTTTACCAACAGAAGTAAAAAACTCATTTAATTTCTGGTGAAAATTTGACATACATTCTATAGTAATTTGGATGATTAATTCATGGAGCCTATTTCAAACATAACAATATACTAACTTTTAAGGCCTGTGCATAATCTTGAAATGATGGTCGGGTTGTGTCATCCTCCAAGTTAGCCTACATGTATTTAATCAAGTTGAAATTCAGACACTTGAAGTCAAGGGTTGCAAAGTAAACATTTTCAGTTGCCATTTTCACCATTATTAGTTTCAGTTAGACTTACAGGTAATCCACCCCCAATGTCAATAATGCTGATCTGTTTTTTTCCTAATCTTTTGTTCACTTCCTAAAAGAAAAAGCAACATAAACAATATGGTGATCAAAGTACTCACAAAATTGGTGATATTCCACTGGATTGAGTAGAATAAAAGTTTTTTTTATTATAATTAAAATAAATCAATGTGTCAATCAATTTAGAGCTTCAACATCCATCCCCCCCCCCCATCAGTCATTTGAACTTTTAAACAATGGTTTGTTCAAATTCCTGCCTCTGTGGGCAAACATTTTTGTTCCAATGCTCCACCCAATTTTATTATTATAAAAGGCAGACATGTAATCAGAAAGCATGACTTTCTACACATTGACCAGCATGTGGCTACCCTGGTCCTAGAGGTTCTCTACTCTCTAAAAAAAATAGGATAAATCTCTTCTCCCAAAACAAACCGGCGCCTAGCACCGGCAATGAGCTGCAAAGCAGCGAGTAGTCGAGAGAACCTCGGGTGGAGACCATTGAGAACCTCACTTTGGTGCATTCAGCTGATGATCGTTGCCATCTGATTGGCAATTATTGTTTTTTGTTTGAAACTGACGTGATTGTTGCGATCTGATTGGCTATTATTGTTTTTTATTTGATAATGACGTTTCCTATTGGCTGTTGAAAAGTGATAGATTTGATCAGCTGTCAAAACAGCTGAATGCACCAGCGGTCTCCACCAGAGGTTCTCTCCACTGCTTGATGCTTTGCAGCTCATTGTCCACACTTGGCGCCAATTTTTTTAGGGAGAAGAGATTTATCCTATTTTTTCTAGAGAGAAGAGAACCTCTGGGACAAGGGTAGCATGAGGCTTGAAAACCAAAATGCTGTTGACCTTTTCCTCTGAGCCATTTGCTTGCAAAAGTGAACTATTTACTTTAAACACCTCCACATTTAAAGATATAACAGTTGTATTCCTCTAGAATACTCGACACATAAACAAATCAATGACACCAAAATTTTACACACATTAAAATACAACATTTTTCAGAGCTATAAAAACCCTCTTAATGAAACTCCATACAGTGCAAATGTTGTAAAATTCATGTATAAGTTAATCATAAAGGATGAAAGACACAGGTAACAGTCTCTCTCCAGTTGTTTTGGACAAGTTTTTAATATTATTTGCCAAATACAGTTGGTAGTAAAATGAAATAGCTGGTATACAATTTATAGTACAGGATACTGTGCAGCAAAAAAAAAAAAAAAAAACCAAAAACAAAAAAATCAGGAAACCCTAGGCACAACAGTGCATGTAAACCTTGAAAAAAGAGAATACCAATTTTAATGCCACTAACTGTCCTTACCAAAGCAAAGTCAACAACACATTTCACACCACGGGTAAGATCACCACAATCAAAACTCTGAAATCAGATGGAAACAAACAGAGTTCAATGGCATTCCTCCCACCCCCCACACTCCATTCTCTTTGTTAATATCAGGTAATGGTTCAAGCATAAGTCATGGTTATAAGTTATAAGTCATGGTATAAGTTATAAGTCATGGTTATAAGTCATGCAGTCATGGGTCAAGCGTAATTACTTAAATATAAACGAATCTAACACTAAAGTATTGCCTTTGGGTGATAATCCACCATGTTATGAATTGTTTGCTGACCGTACTAGGCCTCCCTTGAATGTGGTACACAATATGAAGTTATTAGGTCTAACTATTGACAGCTCCTTATCTTTTAAAGCCCACATTAAATCCGTGTGTAATAAGGTTAATGCCAAAGTTAGTGCTCTTAGGAGAGTTCGTAAATTCATACCTTCAGAAGTGATAGTCAATATTTACAAGGCATTTATTTTGCCACACTTAGAGTACTGTGCTCCAGTCTTAGTTGGGTTATCATCTGGCCTATCTAACAAGCTGGAGCTCACTAATCAGTATGCCATTAGAACTCTTTTAAACATGGCTAAGTCAAACTCATATAGTACCTTACTTGACCATGTGGGACTGAAGACCCTAGAGCATCGCAGATATTCTCCTGCTCTCTTCCTTTTTTATAAATGCTCATATAACATGGGGCCGAATAATATTAGGGAGATGTTTTTATTTTGTAATAATAAATATGACCTCAGAGGCTTCTGCAAGCTTGATCAGCCTACTTATTCTAGCAGATTCATGCATAGGTCATATCAATACGTCACTACAAGATTATGGAATAATCTACCTGACTATGCAAGAAGAGCTCCTTATCTTAATATTTTTAAATCAATGCTGGACGAGGTTAACTTGACTACCAGTGTGGAGTGTGAATGCAACTTTTGTACATAGCTTTTTTTATCCCTAGCTTGTCCCTCTTAGTTTTATTGATTCCTATTTATTCCCTATATATGCATCATGATTCCCATATGATTTTATAGTTCCTTTTTATTACTATTACTATCATCATTATCTAGCTTGTTATATATATATATTATTTTAACCTGGCACGTTCAAGTTAAAACGAGTTATACTCAATTGTGAAATGTGGATAAATAAATTACTTACTTACTTTACTTAACATTGAAATGGGGGAGGGGGTGGAGATAAATAAACATTATAGAAAACATTCCAAAAGTACACATAGTAGAGCATGCCAAGACTTTCACTACTCATTGTAGTTGAAAGACAACCAATAATTTTATCAATTTAAAAAAGTATTATTTTGCAAGTCAGAAATCAACTTGACAGTTTTTCAAATATTTTTTGTATAGTAATACTTAGTTTTTACACTATCATAGTCTCCACATATTTCTGAAGTACCTGGGACCCAATATGTATATGAACTCCTGTCAACCAAGGATGATCCATATACCAGCTAATGATCTCTTCCTTTGATGAGGCTGTCAGCTTTTCAAAAACAATATTTGTAATTAAACATAGATTTATTTTCCAAGCTGTTATCATCATCACTGGTACGATGACCGCCTCCCGGTTAGCTCAATTGGTATAGCACCGGATTGTTGTGCGGGAGGTTGAGAGTTCAAATCCAGCTGGCCCAACACTCAGGGTCTTTAAATAACTGAGTAGAAAGTGCTGCCTTTTTAATAATATCTGCAAATGGTTAGACTTTCTAGTCTTCTCGGATAGGGACGATAAATGGAGGTCCCATCTCACAAGCCCTTGTATCTGATTTCAATTTGTGGGACGTCAAAGAACCCACACACTCCTCAAAAAGAGTAGGGCACATAGAGCCCGCTGTTGTGGTATATCTTTGTGCTGTATCTATCCAGGGTGAATTGGAGGGAGGGGTGGTGCCTCGCATGGACCTTGTGTTCCGTTCACACTAACCCTTCCGAGTCTAGTCACACCCGGTAAAGTCATTAAAACAAAACAAAACAAAACAATAACAATATGAAATGGTCAGTCCAATATAATCATGAACAACAGTATGTGGCAAACATCTATACAACTGCATTTTGCATAGAAATTCCAGATACACTACATGATGTTAGAACATTGCAATGATTTGGCACTGCAATTCTCTTGTTTCATGACCTCCTTAGAGACAAAAATGTTCTCTCTGAACACTACAAAAGCGAGATTAACTGCTTGAAATCTTGTGGAAATCATGTCACCAAAGCTTGGGGTTCCGGCAGTGCAATATTACATGTATATTCATACACACCCCAAGAAGTTAATCACTGGGATTACTCAGAGGGAGAGAGAAAACACAAAACATCTTGTGTTGTTGAAATAGTTATTAAGTACAAAATTCTTAACAGATATAAGTCAATCTTGTTGCACTCACCTGGACTCCAAACTTTGAATCTGTTGTACATGTACTAAAACAAAGAAAAAAAAGACTGCACTTAACATGCATTTTTTTAACAGTGGTGCCATGATATGATTGACCAATTTGCCATTGTTGATAAGAGTAAAGACAACATTGCTCATGTCAATGTATCAAGCAACATGTTGCACATTGAAAGAATCCTGTCACGCACTGAAAGAATCATTTTATCGCGCTGCAGCTCATGAGTCCACAACATTTTGACCACTGTGATGACATAAAGTTTATTGTTAATGACAAGAGTACTGAATACCAGTAACAAAAATAATAACAAAAGAATGAATGAACAAATCAACCAAAAAAAAAAAATTAACAAAAACAATAAACAATTTTATAAACTTCTGTTGAAGTAACGTTACAGACTGTAGTCAGCAACATTGATCATTATAAATCATTAATATTTTTTGTCTAATTTTAATTACTGGCAGGAGTGTTGCTCACCTTAGATCTTTAACAGCACCAACTCCAAGAATAGGTTTCAATCTTATGCCAACTGATGACTTTGTTTGACTATCATACCAAAAATATATGTTAAGAATATCTATATAATTATATATATATATATAGTTTAATCACTATATATATATATATATATACATATATATAGAGTGATTAAACTTGGTGTTTATGAAAC